GGATTGTGAAGTGCTCAAAACCTGTCTGTGGCACCTGTTTGAGTTGATCGTCAGTCTGCATGGGTGCAATATCGCTCCCAGGATCCTCCTGTATGGACTCTTCAGAAGACTTGGACTCTGCCAAGCTCTCCTTGTCTGTATCCATGGGCTTCAGATCTTCCGCCATCTTGTCAGCCAAGATTGGGCCCTCAGGTTTCGGCTCTGTGCTCGCCTCTACATCCGGCTCCTCCTGCTTCTCCACCACCATCTCCATTGGCTCCTCATCAGAATCCTTCTTCTCCACCTCCATAGACAGAATATTAGCATCATTCCGCAAAAAAAAAAAAAGACACTTTTTATTTAAATACTATACTTCCTCATATAGTGGTGGATGGATGCATTTATTTACTCAACTGGAGCTAGTGCCCACTCCCGAAAAGCACTCAACACAGGTATTTGACCTGAGGCAATTATTTATTCAAGTGGACAAGGCACCCGGTAAACTAATATGGGTGAGGCTTGTACAGCGGAGGCTACTTTTTGAGGGAGTATAGTAGTATTGTTTTTTTGAAGCAGAATCAAAGCACTACCTCCTCTTCCTGCTCCGGTGTTTTTGCCATGAGGTGAGGTTCCAGTAATTGAGGCGGCATGGCCGGAGACATGATAGGCTGCTGGAACACAGTTGTCACCGTGGTATCTGAGCAAAGTGTGGGAGGGGCCATGGAGGACACGTCGATGACTGTACTTTTGGCACCGCTCTGGGGCACCTGTCGGCCTAGGAGGGATAATCAAACCATGTTGGTTATGGCACTACGGTAGACCAGGAAGAGAAGCAAATGTTCATGTTCGACCAGTTTTCTTACTATTGTATTGATGAGGCACAACAAAGTCTCCAAGCCACTCGGTGAGAGCCAGTTTCAGAGCAAGCTGGGGGCTGTACAACATGTCTGTCTCCAGTTCTTCATCACTGCCCTCATTCTCCAACTTAATCTGGATGGAAACTGTGCTGTCCTCGCCATCGTCTGATAAGAAGCAAGAGGATTGTAACACTTTAACGACGGTCAATTGTAAAGCAGACATTTTCTGAAATGGATCTTACGTACTCATGACCACATCCTTGCGGACCCCGTTCATGTTCGACTTATACCAGGTGGCCAGAGTGTGGATAGCAACGAAGTTGGACTCAAACTCGCAGTTGGGGTTGGTGAGGACGCCCTTCAGTCTGGGGATGAGTTCTGTGGAGCGGCCCTTGTAAGGACCCAAGAAGAGCCTCTTCTGGTCGTAGTCATTGGCGTGAATGTTGTCCCAGATCACAGGGGCTCTTCTTAAAATCTTAGACACTTCTTCTATCGACTCCACTGTGATGTCTTTGGACACCACTTTGGGTCCTGTGAGCAGACAAGCCTTGTGAGCGTCAGCTTCAAAAATCAGTAGGAATAATTCTTGCCAGAAAGTGTTTCACACATGCCTGTCCAGAGAATATCGATGCCAGGCAACAGCTTCTCTCCAACTGTGTGAAGGTAGGGAGACTGAGAGACATTCGGGTAGCAGAAGGTTCCACAGTACTCTGCAAATAAGGACATTGATCAAGCAAATCAATAATGAGGCTAAAAGAGATTCGCATGAAATTGCAGATCGTTAAAATTATACCTGTGGGACAGAACAAGAAGGTTTCAGGCTCTCCAAGGTACTGGTAGATTTCATTCGTGATGGACACCTGAGCGTGCGCAAACGAGCTAAACACCTCCTTGTCGGCAGGGCACATGTTGTGGTCGATGTCGTCAAAAAGTAAGGCAAATGACTTGCAACCAAAGTGTGTCACCTTATTAACAGAGATAAGAACTTGTTAATAACATGCAGCAATAAAGTGGGACCTCAAATGCCTAGAAAGTGTAGTTTGACCAAAAGCCACCCATGTTCAGGAAAAGAACGTCTTGAATAAACCTCACAAGACCACATCTCAAGCAGCATTAACAGTAACTTTGTGGTTACTTATGTAACCTTGATTTGGATCTCCTGTGTATTTGAGCCCATCTATTTACACTGTCTGACAAGAAGTAGTTCCAAGTGAAGCTATCAACTACAACATTAGCTTCCTGCAGCCGCAAGCTTGTCACATTTGCGTGTTGAGTTTCAGCCCATTACATTAGCGCAATGACCCCAAACAACTGTTTCGCGGTACATTAGTGTGCCGTAAGAGATCATCCGGTGCTCTAAAAGCCTGGCCCAAGTGTGTCCATATTTGGCACTGGTTGCTAAGCTACAGAACAGGTAGTAGTCTTGTCTTTTCCCACTAGTATGGATGTTAAATCGTTACGTCAGCAATCCCTGACTTTCCTTACAAAGAGGAGAAGTAATACAGGTGCAGTTGTGGCTGATGTTGATTTTAATTTAGTTTTTATTGATGACCATGCTTAAGTCACACGTTTCTATCCATTACATCAAGATGACAGAGATCTCAGTCCATCGACTTTTTTTTTAACCCTGTCACACTACGTCATTTGTCTTGTGTCCAAAAAGCACAGCAAACTGGGTCACCACATCGATTTCCTCCACATCTTTTACTGTACAACTTCACCAAAATCTCTTACTGTTGTCACCCAGAAATCACAACATCACAAACTCTCCGATAGGATGTGTCGTCTGCCTCAAAGCAGCACCGGGCCCAAATGAAACATATTTGAATTTGAGTGTCACAACAGCAAATGCCCAGCTTGCAGGCTGCCATAGGACCTGCCACACTGTTTCGATTTTGAACTGCAGCAGTATATACACGATGAATGGGATGGTCACCACTTACACTTGGATGCCCAAAAAAATGGTGTGTAAAGTGCAAGAGTGAGGCAAAATTTAATATCTTGTTCATAAGGAACGCGTTACTGTTTTTAACAGAAACTTTGGATTGTTTTTGTCAAAACATGTTGCAATACCTGGTCCAGTTTCCTCTTGAGTGCTGTGACCTCTTTCTGATTGGAGAAAGTGATGTCAAGTCCGGGAGAAATGGCATAGATGAACTCAATGCCATACTCTTTGGCTGCTCCAATTAGCGTCATAAGTTGTTCTGGGAGTTAATTGGAGGAAAGAAAAAAAAAAGAAAACACTTAATACAGATGGCCATGTGTCATGTACACTTAAGGAACAACTATAAATCATTTTCTCATCTGTTCTCAAAAGTCACCTGCTTCCTCTACTGAGTACAACTCCCTCCAGAACATTCTGTGTTTGTAGTCATCTTTCGGGGCATAAAGGTACGTATTCAGTCCCCATTTCTGTTGTCTGTGAAACATAGTGATGGCAACAATTACAATGAATGGAAAAACACGATTAAAGTAAGCAGGATGACATATATCTACCTCCGAAACAACTCTTTCCTCTGTTCCATTGTCCACGGCCGTCCATAAAAACCTGCAACAACAAACCATACAATCACTTTTCATGCGGTGCTGCTAATATAACAAGTGGCTTTCTTCACCCCTGGTGTTAGTCTGCTTTTCAATCGTTTGCTACACACATGGACACCTGACATGCGACCAAAGAATGGGCCAATGTTTATTTTGAATTTTTTTTTTTTTTTAAATCCAGTGAACATGTGTAGGGAAGAACAACGACCTGGCTGTTCCACGACATAAATAGAAACATTTTCTCAGACACGCAATACGATGAAACGCATGTTCAGTATCGAAGTCGATTGACCTATTTATTGCGCGACTGCAATTCACACAAAGTACCTTCTACCACTCCACTGATGAATTTTCGGTGGCCCGTCGTTTCCACAATGATTCCGCCGGACTCTTCCAACAGGCCGGGACCAGCGGCACAAGCCTCTCCCGAGACTGGGCTGGGATTCGGTTCGGATTCCACCGGTGTCCTCTCCAGCGTCTTTTCTTTTTGGACCATTTTATGGTAGAAAATCCTCGGAAACGAATAAAAACAATCCAAGAAAAGCGCTGCTTTTTTTCACGGAATGCCGAGCAAGCCAATCGCGTCAGACAGCAGGTCTGGCGTTGCTGGGTTTAACAGTGCCTTCCAAGGAACAGTCGAATAGCCGTACCTGTTTCGCAACTAATTTAATCGTAATCTTGTTCAGATTGGACAAAACAACTTCTTAATGTTAATATAAAATGAACCACAATACATTTTGTGTACAATCCGCGCGTTCGCTCGACTCTGGTGGATTTGCCCTGTTTTTTCCCCCAACAATTCTTCCTGTTTACACCCAGTGCGCATGCTCACTCGACTAGTTTAAACCAGTCAAAACCAGACCTGACCGACCAATAGCACAAATGCCCTTCAACCTTCAAGATAGTTCACACCCATATTAGCCAAGGTAGAAAATTAAGACATAAACGGACAAATTTCGCATCTTGCATCTTGTTTTACTTAGTATCGACAATTAAGAAATACATGCCGTAAAAAATACTTCGTATTTAGACATAGATTAACATTTTATTGTGGACATGAATGCGGATACTTGACTGTGATAACGAATGATCATAACGGCCCGGCTTTATTATACTCGCCATTGCCTACTTCATCTTAAGCGTATTTATTATCTTTGGTTCTTCGGCCCATATTAGGAATGTAGCCGAGAGCCAATGTTTGAAAATGGGACGTTTTCCCCTCCTCCCAACTGAACAAATATCTTGTACTCAGTTTGCAGTTTTTAGTTTTCCGTTCAGTACATAGCGTCAGACATTAAAAGGTATTGTTTAGATTTTTCACATTTGTTAAATCTGGCCCTCTTAACTTATTGTAATACTATACATTTCTTTTGGTTTGCCTCTCTGGCTGCATCTTGTACCTCTAATATGATTTTGAGAAACCATTGTGCCCCAGGAAACACGAGCAATCTTAACAGAAGGCATGACCGACGATGTGTCGATCATTTTACAGACCCTCGCAGTCTCACACTGATCCACCTTCAGAGAAATATATCAAGACCAAGCACTCACACTTTGAACAGTGTACTGTAGTGAAGTGACAGCAAAGGTGACATGCTTCAATGACCAAACGAGACAGTTCAGGTTCCTGTTTTTAATTGATTGCAGTACATTTCAATGTATTACATCCTCATCCAACATTTAAGGAGCCCCATTTATTTTTCTCTTTAAAAGTGATTCTCTCCAAACACTTAATTTTGGTTTTACATGTTTAAATAAACATTTTAAAATTGTTTCATTTTTTTAAGCTTCTTTTACTCTTAATTATAAATCTTCTCTTCAATAGAAGGTATTAGACTTGCCCAAACAAAATGTAAACAAAATAAAACAAATGCCACAACAAACTGAAAAGACAAGTTTTGCTCTTGAGGTAAGTGTTTTCTGCTCCCTGCGGCAGCCTCCTGTTACCTCTTCAGACTCCGCTGCGCCTGCTTTAGTAAAGTGTCGAAGTCTAGTGTCTTCACCTTGCCTTTAGCAGATGCCGGGTCATAGTCTCTGTTAGAATCTGAGAAGCAACATGGGAATTACAATGTGAAAGAATGGTACGAGCAAGTTGAGAGCATCTCTCGTCTTTTGCACTACCTAGGTCAGCATAGGTGGTTTTGCAGAACTGCCTCCTTCCACCAAAGCACAGATCAAATGGCAGCTCATCAGCCTTACGCAGCTTGTTACCATTCTCAATGGCAGTGAAAGCATCCTTGGTGTCGTAGTAAGTCACAAACCCGTAGTTGTCCCTGTTGCAGGTATTAGTATTAGCATCAAATGAGACATGACTACTTCACTTTATGATGGTTTGTCATTTGAAGCTGTGGCTTGCTTTTAAAAGAGCGACCTGGGACATAAACCAGGAGGCCCCAGTTATGAGCAGGCCTGCTTATGCTTTAGCATTGTACCTTGACCCTTGATGTCACAAAAGAGACCAAAAGGGTTCAGTAACAATGCAATACAGCAAGTCAAACCATGAAACAAGGAGCACTCACCCTTGTTCCCTAAAGTGCAGAGTGCAATCCTCCACTTCTCCAAAGTAGGAGAAACGCTCTCTGAGCTCCCTTTGGGTCATTGTGCCTCGAATTCGACCAATGTAAACAACCCGCCTCTCCTCCTGTAGGGTACATTTTCAAAATACATCGAGTAAGATAACTTACTTCACAATACACCAACTGTGTAATTTACAAGCTTACAATGGCTTTGTCCTTGCGAGACTTCACATCCTCAGCAGCGTACCCATATCTCCTCTGATATGAAGGACTAAAGAAAGACCACCTTTAGCCAAATTCAACCAAGCACGAGAAAAATTTGCAACTGCTACAGTGTACCTATGTATGGATCTCTTTTTCCTCCATGGCACTTGTCTTTGGGGCGATTGAGACCGCGATCTCGAGCGACTCCAAGAACCAGAGTGAGAGGAGGAATATGAGTATTTTCTCCTTCTTGGAGGAGAGCGGGATACGGAGGACCGTGAAGACGAACGAGATGAAGAGCTGGATCTGCTGCGAGAGCGGCTATGATGAAACCTATAAAGGAAGAGGAGGAAGATAAAGTCTGATGAGTCACAAGCCAAAAGGAATGCAGATGATGCCAAGTGGATCTCACCTTTTCTTAGATGGCAAGTGGGATCTTGACCGAGATCGAGATCGAGATGAGTGCGAATCAGACTCGATGCTGCTGGAAACAGATGGTGAACGTTGGGATCTTCGTTTTCGTCCCCTCCGTTTGGGGCTGGGACTGCAAGAGGCAGGATGCCAACGATACGACCTCTCAAAAGACTTCTTCCTAAGAGTTCTTTCGGCCGATTCGCTCTCCTGACGCGCTGGAGAAGCTTCCGGAGTCTCCAGAACAGAGGATTCTGCTATCCCATCGATGCCATTATTCAAAGCCTCTGGAGTTGGTGAAGATACCTGCGAATTTGGGTTTGACTGGTAGGTGGTCTCCTGGATGCATGGGGGCCCTGTAGTGGCTGTAGCGAGATTCCTTATGGGTTTAATTGTGATTTGCTGTTTGACATTCCAGCGGTTGCCTGCTTCACCAGCAGAAGAAGCGTCTCTGCTGGGTAGGCAGTAGTCGTGATCCATGCACACCACACTGTAAGGCACAGTGGCGGGAGCTGCAGTGGGCTTGGCACGGAATCTGGCTGAGGTCAAAGGGCGGGCCTCGATCTGAATAGCCTTGGAGGGGTTTGATTTGGATGACTCTGTGGGCCTGGCCTTTCCCAGCAGAGCAACAGGGGCCAGAGGTTTCCACATCTGGTGTGGAGGAGTGGCTGGAGGAGTCAAAGCTAGAGAATATAAAGAGTGCACCATTACTACAGCAGACAATTAATAGCAGTTGGGCATATGTGATGCAAAGATGCTAATCTGGAGATACAGGAACCCTAAATTCTCACCTGAAATTGCACGTTTTCAGTAGGACTGAACAGAGCTAAATTTGTGACTGCCGTTTTGCATTGGAGGCTGCCAGTTTGTGCTGTTTGACAAGAAGACGCACCGAGTAAAGGACTGCTGCGATAGCTTATCGTGTTTGCCAGCCACAAAATGTTTGGCTACATTATAAAGTGGTGGATTGAGACACGAGTTTAATTAATTAATTGCTTGTATTAATGTCATTTTTTGCAAACAAAGAATATCTGCCACTGAGTATATTAACTCTCTCCACGTGTTATTCCATTTGTTTTCAAATATTCACTACTTAAAACCGTGACTATTGAAGCTAATGTTAGCATGTCAATGATGCTAGCATTAAACTAGCAGGACATTCTTAGGGCAACATGGTTTTGTTTTAAATATATGTGTAATAATCTTCGTTTTATGTTTAGTTTGCAGGTTAGTGTCAACTAGGAGTGGCATTAAAATGCTTGAAGCCTAAGTTTGGATGAAATGTATTATTCGCCAAACTGCTGCTTATGGAGTGCGTTAAGTTTAATGTCACAATAGAGAATTTGTATCTCAAGTATGCGCTTGCAAGTTATCGCAAACAAAATCGGCCAAATGACGGCTCATATCTCAAAAAAAAATGTCTTTCCCGTCACTAGGCAACACTACTTGGCTTGCGTTTCGAGGTTCCACTGTCATCATTTTGTAAAACACATTTCCATTTACTTGATATAAATTACCTGCCGGGCTTGAGAGATCAGTGACACGCTCCACAACAGTTTTTTCACGTGGAAGTCCGACACTAAAAAGGTAGAACAAAAGTTGTTAATGCTTTGCATCTGACTTTGCCTTAAGTTTGGCTGTGAATCACAGTGTCGATGCCCATTTTATGGGCATGACTGAGTCTTGACGGCAGGTCTTGGCAAAAAAAGTGGAGTCACGGCAACCACACATTTGACTCCATCACACCCACAGAGCAGCGTGACGGCTGTAGGGTAACTCACCTAGAGTTTCCTACAGCTGCTGCTCTACCACAGACCTCCGGTATACTTTGTTGCTCTCTGGCTGAAGAGAGATAAGGAGAACGGGAGACTGTCAGAAGAGATTTATTAGTGAATTGAAATGTCATTTCAAGTCCCGCGCAACTGCCACAGCCAGCTAAGGCATTCAAAGGCTCAACAACATACCAACTAACACTATTAAATGAAAATTGGAGTCCAGTTGCTGTACACCCAATGTGAGTGAGGTTGAGCATTGTGCATCCTCCAACAAAGACAGCATGGTGAGGGTTAAATGGATTTGCAGACTGGGCAGAATTCCACAGCACAAAGCAGCTTCACGGCCCCCACAAAAAAACAACCTTCAGAAAATGCTTTGCACAAAAAAGCTGCCAAGTGCCAGTAAACGCGCATGTATTCAAATAATTGCCTTTTATGTGACGCAAGTCAAGAGTCGAATGATGTTTCTTCATTCCCATGATGAAACACTTAAAACGTATAGGTCACCTCCATCAACCTATGAGAACGTGAGCTACCACTGCAGACCAAGAAATGGGGACTAGTAAAAGGGATTAGTTTGCTCACCTTGTGTTTCCTCAAACTGCTCCAGCAGGCTGGTCAGATCAGCTGCCTCAATACCTATAATGCAGAAAAACCAACAAATTAAAAGACAAGACCAACAAATGGAGACTATGAGGAAAAGTTATGTAAAGTCGATTGATGACTTGGAAGTCCGAAGCAATTTCTGAGACAAGATTCTGACATTTGGAGTGAAATTTGAGTTGCCAATTTGCCGCTGTCAATTAGCTATTTAGCTGTGCATTTGTAAAAATAGTATATTATTTTCTTGAGAAACTGTGGTGTACAGTTGACAAGCTCACCCATTTCAGTGGTGAAGGACTCAATCAATTCCTGTGTTGGACTCTTTGCCTTTGGAGCTTCAGTTTGTGCTGTGACTAGCGGTTTTGGTTTCAACACAAGTTTTGATTTAAGACTTGATGATGCCATGGGATGAAGGAAAGGAGTCGAACAAGATTTGGCATTTGTTATCAGGGCCTTTGTAGATGTGCTGCGATTCTTTGAGGAAGGCGTGGAGCAAGGAATGACCTCAGGCACATTCTGGCCAACTAGGGTTGTCTGCAGAGGACTGGGAACAGAAACGGTAGCAGCAGAGGTGCACTGGATTGTCTCTGTGGTAGTTTTGACAAGCTGTGGTGTCCGCTCAGTGACTTCTGTCTTATCTTCTGACAGTTTCGGACCTTTGTCTGTTGATTGGCTTGAGACTTTTTGTTGTGCAGGGACAGCATTAGCAGCTTTTTTGGTTGAGGCGACCATATAAGCGGGCGGCACTAATAGTGCCTCAGGGGTAGGTGGGGCGCAGGGTCCACGGGGTTGCCAGGCGGGTTTGACCTCAACTGACTTTTTTGCAGCCTGGAAGGTGGGCCACCGAGGGTCTCTTGGGCTGGGTTGAGGCAAGCAGGGGATAGGAAGTAATTCTCTGGGCGGCTCCGGAAGGCTGGGCCACTTGGTGCTATTGTCGCCTTGTTTATCCACTGCAACAGGTTTCTTCTGCAACCGCAGTTGTCGGTACTCAGCCAGACTGAGGGACTTGGGCTTTGGCTCTGGAGCTGCAGGAGTCTCAGGCGGGAGGGGCTCATCTACGGTCAATGTGAAGTTTGGAGCAGCTGCTGGGTTGCTGGAGGACATCGGGGATGATTGGCTGGAGAGCTCATCAGGAGATTGGGACACTTGTTGGGACATTTTATCCGGTTGTTGGGAGTAGACTGCTTGGGCTGGACTTTCAGAAACGCCAGATTTTAAAAGTCCTGTAGGCTGTGGCGACACAAACGACACAACAGCTTTCTTGCTAGATTCAGCGGTCATAGTGGGGATTTCAGCTGGTGATTCACAAGGTTGTGGAATGCTATCCATAGGTTCTACAGAAGGAGTTACAGGACCAGCTACAGCTTTTGGTACTTTGTTCTTCTTCTGTTCCTTGAGTCGCCTCTTTTCAGACTTCTGGGGTAATTCTTTTATTTTATTTCTCGCCGCGGCACTCCTGAGGACCCTTCCCTCGACAGGTGGGCAATGTTTCTTACATTTCTTTTTCCTTTTCCGATGAGAGGGGATTCTTGCGATGGTGCCTTCTTTCTGTTTGTTAATCTTATTGCATTCTTTCCCATCTGAACATATATTTGGATTTCTCACCGGAGCCTGAGCGAATGCTTCATCATCATCATCATCATCAACAATAATATGCTCAGAGCTGTCAGAAGCTACTTCTTCCTCATCTTCTGCCCTTAGCTTATTATTGTGAGACTCTTCGATTGGTAGAGGAACTGGGAGGTCTTGGACAGCGAGGATAGGCTCTCCATTTTCACCCTGATCCACCACCTCCAGTAAGATTCCCCCTGCAGGTAACATCTGCGAGCCTTCATCATCCTCCATGCAAATCGTCATGCAGTATGGATGCATGTGTTTGACCAAGTCACGCAGATTGACTGAAAGGTCATCACCACCGTCCTGCTCAATGGTGACAGGAAACGGAAAACTTAGACCACCTAAGTCTTCCAAAGTGCATTCAGAAGGTAAACTGGGCCTCAGTGGGCTCAGAGTAAGAGACCCAGCATCTTCTTCCTCCCCGTCACTTCTTTGCAATGAATGTCTCATCTTGGGGAGGTTCTGAGAACAAAGAGGAGCGAGTTAAAATTTAAACGAGTATGCAGTATGGCATATCCACCATTTATGGGGTGAAAGATACCTTTCCAGTTGATAGTGGTCTTGAGCAAAACGAGTCTTTCTCTGGAGAGGACTGCGGCAGACAGAGTAATCTCCTGAGCTACAATATGGGGGAGAGGGGAGTGCAAGTAAATGACATGTTTTCCCCAGCAGTAGCAAATTTAATGTACATGAAGTGTATGAAGCCTTGTGTCATTTAATCTCATTGTAAACACAGGGCGCAGTATGGGTTTATGTGGCAGAAAGTAGAGGGAGAGCTCTTGCGAGCTCTGCAGGTCTGCACTAACCGGCGAGTGTTCCCTGCCCTGACCCGACATCAGGTCCGACTCAGGCAGCATGTCAAACGGAGACAGGTTCTCATCGTCCATATTGTCCAGTATGTCCGCAAGAGCGGTTAACAGTGTGGCTTCACTGTCTTCGTCTAGTCCTTTCGTCTAAATGATGATGATTATAACAGAAATAAAAACAACAACTTAAGACCAAGAGCATTTCAAAATAGACATGTAAAATGAAAATTGACAAGCCAATCGTGTAAGGACAACGATTAAACATGTTAGTTTCCGGAAAGCCGTTTGCTCATGTGGACTTGCCTCGACAGACGGCGTGTCAAAGATGGAAAGGATGGAGGGGTCCAAGCAGCTTTGAAGAGCCTCAGATGGTTCTCCGGAGCACATTTCAGGAGCCTAGAAAGACAGCAGATAAAATCAAAATCTGTTTAAAGTCACCTACAAGAAACTGTATTTACATGATGGACTGCATGTTACTGACAGTGCCCTCGTAAACATGTATGTTTTAATATTGGCCAATAGTGGAAGTTGAGTGCGGCCACACAGATCTCTAATTACAGTTTAAGAATAAAGTATTGATGACAAAAAAAAAAAAAAAAACAATGACTGTTATGTTGTTGTATTTTATTAAGTCCATAAAGTAAGAATAAGAAAACATTTATTGGTCTCACATGGAGAAATTCCCAATTTACAGCAGCAAAGTTATGAAAGGAAGAAAGTAGAAGAACAGAAGTATAGGAGCTGCTGTAAAGGCCGCCACTCTCACGGCGCCATCTTGAAGTCATAACAACATAACAAAATAATACAACTCAACACATAAGACACAGACAGTCATTCAATCTTAACCACTTTTCTGAATACTCTTTGTTGTTTGAAGCAGTTATACATGAAAGAGGAGAGGATCAAAGTGTCCTTTCACCAATAAAACTAAATAGGCTGGAGGTTTGAATTAAGACTCCTGTCTTTCGATGTGCAGTATGCATATCCTTATGTGTGTGTGATTTTTTTAACTCATACGACATCCCACAATCCCCAAAATGTGTGTAGTTAATTTAACACAATATTTTTAGTTGTCGAAGTGCGTGTGAATGCTTATTGGTCTATATGTGTGCTGTGATTGGCTGACAACCCTGTTTCTTGGGTGAACTCGGCTAGTCTTAACTCCAGCACACAGGGAACCCTAAAGGGTTTAGTAGGATTTGTAACGTGTTTGTCTGCCTCGAGTGGGTTAATGTATCTGATTAGAGGAAGAACATTTATTTCTCCAACTCATATTAAAACAATTTCCAGACATTTAAGATATTCTTTTCTTTAGTGTTTCTCCACTAATGCATTTGTTCAAATGTAAATTAAAGTTTTGGACACCCCGTACAAATCTTGGTCCGCATGGAGTCGTTCACGTGTCTTTTATCAGTGTTCGGACATGTTTGATCCTTGACTCTCGCCGTCCACAAGGCGGAAGTCGCGCACCCACGTGTACAACACACCCTTATTATGGGACGTGTCCAATTTTAAGATTTGGACACGAAGTGGCGATTTCAAACATTTGTACATAAAATGCACACGCCGGCAAATAACAGAAGGGAAATATCAAAACAATCACTGTGTGTCTTGTGTGCATGGGTGACATGTCAAATATAATTCAGCCGCAACAAAGCACGTGTGAAGCTTTTCTATGAGTACATAAACGGTAATAGATTATTGTTCCAAAGCGTAAGAATTGTCGTAAAATTGTACTGCCTTAACTGCAAAGTCCATCGACGTGGACAACAACACTGCTGTGACCTGGCACGAAGCTGAGCTCCACCACGGTTCAACTCAAAACCAACCACCTAACTATAATTTAAAATAAAGCAATTCAACGTGAAACTGGATTTGTAAAGTCAACCGCAAAACTAGCAAGCTAACTAGTTAGCTAGCACGCTGTCGTGCTGTCAACACGTGTGAGTGAATCAACCGTAGCGGCAACATTGCAACCAGTTGCGACTTATTTGAATGAAAAACATTAGAACACAACGTACATACAAGCCAGGTGTGTAAGCCCTCACAGAACACGACTGTCACCTATACTGTTTGGCCAATTTAATACATTTTAAAAGTTTAAAGCAGCTCTGGAACCGGCATGCTAATAGCTAGTCAATGTGACGCTGAAACGACGTTAACTACACTGCGAATTGTCATTAATTCACAGATTAAGCATGCGACATGTATGTAATAGTAAAACTATAAAAGTGGCTTTAAAAAAATACTATGTGGTGACGCCTGGGTAGCATCCACGTGTCACTTCAGCATGCACAGTGTTCAACGAGTGCACTGCAGAGCGCACAAATAAAACCTAACATTCCGAATAATGGGGTAATTGTAAATAGGTTAAAACACGTAACACGTTCATTACCGCGCCAAGTGTATCCAAAGGGAAAAAATCCATATTGCACGTCGTTAAATTCTCCTCGCCTGTGCCCCACCGTACCGCCATCTTGCAAGTTTACTCCCTTACTAGCATATGAACGTGGGAATGCTTTGACCAATGGAAAACCTCCGAATGAGCCGGTAGGAGACGCACGATCCCGGTAAAATGACGCAAAATGATGCTGAAACAGGAGTCAAAGGTAAACTAGTGGTAAACTCGTCACGTTTTGTAGTTCTTTTCCAACCACCCCAATTTCCGTTCACAGACCTTTATTCACAATGTTTTTTATACGCGGCCTTTTAATCTAAAAATATGTAGCTCTCAACACACAACTTTTTAATCTGTAAATAATACACACATTTTACAACCCAAAATGTATTTCCCTATCATATTGTATTTAAAAAAAACTATCACGAAAGTATGTCTTATCTACTAAGATGAAAGGTCACAGGAACGCAGACACGTTTCACATGAAAGAAAAAGGGGCTCTTAAGATTGGCCTTGGCTCAAATCAGGAAGTCGGTGTACTGTGAGGAATGTTTGGCCGTGATTGTTAACCGATATATTCTCGATTTGATTCTTCTTCATAAACGCAATCGAAGCAATAAAGTGAACGCAAACATTACAAACCACAAAACAAATGCGGAAAAACCCTGCGGAAAGCCAAAACACATCAACTCAAAAACGACGGCAAGAAAAAAAAGGATCCAACTTTACTACACTAATCGGAAGTTTTCCAAGGCACTAGGGGGCATCGCAGGACCTGTCCCGTCGACCAGATCTTCCCCATTTTCTAGTCTCATGTGAACTACCATTTCCCACTGTCCTTTGTCTGTCGTGCAGTATCGATTACTGTGTGTCTTGTGTTAAGAAGATACCGTAGGAGCTTTTTTACTTGCAGCATTTTCGTTTTGCAGTTGTTTTGTGTGTATTTTTAGTTTGCTTGTGTGTGTTTGTCTTTTTTGCTTGCATCGTTTTTGTTGTTGTTTGCAGCATTCCTGTGTTTGCAGCAGTCGGGCGTTTGGCACGTGTTTGCTCCTGCACATAAAATGTGCAAAAGCAACTGAAGTCCTTAAGGACTGATTGAGCTTTGACCCCATACGAGGGCATTTTGTTTTAGTTTCAATTATATGCCTTTTTTATGTTGATAATATACAAACGTATATATTATAAAAAAAGTGTGTGTGTGTGTGTGTGTGTGT